TGGTTCAACATTCGGAAATCAATCAACATAATCCACCATATCAACAAAAGAAAAGATAAAAAGCATATGATCATATCAATTGATGCAGAGAAAGCATTTGATAAGATCCAGCACCCCTTTATGATGAAAACCCTAGCCAAAATGGGTATAGAGGGGACCTTCCTCAACATAATTAAAGCCATCTACCACAAACCTACAGCAAGCATCATCCTCAATGGGGAAAAACTGAGAGCCTTCCCTCTAAGATCAGGGACGAGACAGGGATGCCCACTCTCTCCATTGCTGTTCAATATAGTACTGGAAGTACTTGCAATAGCGATTAGGCAGGAAAAAGATATTAAGGGCATTCAGGTAGGAAAGGAAGAAATCAAGCTCTCACTATTCGCAGATGATATGATACTATACTTAGAGAACCCAATAACCTCCACCAAAAAACTCCTAGAAACAATAGACTTGTATAGTAAAGTTGCAGGCTATAAAATCAATACCCAAATGTCCATGGCTTTCCTATACGCAAACAGTGAGAGAGAAGAAAGCTACATGAAAAAAACAATCCCATTCACAATTGTTCCCCAGAAAATCAAGTTCCTAGGAATCAGCTTAACTAAGGAAGTAAAGGACCTGTACAAAGAAAACTACAAAACGCTACTTCAGGAAATAAAAGAGGACATGAGGAAATGGAAAGATATCCCCTGCTCATGGGTCGGGAGACTTAACATTGTCAAAATGGCAACACTACCGAAAGCATTGTATAAAGTCAATGCAATCCCTATAAGGATACCCATGACATTCTTCAAAGAAATGGAGCAAACACTCCTGAAATTTATATGGAACAATAAGCCCCCACGAATACCTAAAGCAATTCTTGGGAAAATGAAAATGGGAGGAATCAACCTCCAGAACTTCAAACTGTACTACAAAGCAGTAATAATTAAAACAGCATGGTACTGGAACAAAGGCAGAACTGCAGACCAATGGAACAGGGTTGAATACACTGACATCTCTCCTCAATCATATGCTCATCTGATCTTTGATAAAGGTGCAAGTAATGTGAAGTGGAGTAAGGAAAGCCTCTTTAATAAATTGTGTTGGCATCACTGGACGGCTACATGCAAAAAAATAGGCTCAGAACTCTGCCTAACACCATGTACAAAAGTAAGATCAAAATGGATTAAAGACCTCAACATCAGACCAGAAACCATAAGGTACATTGAAGATAAAGTTGGCAAAACCCTCCATGACATTGAAGCTAATGGTATCTTCAAAGATGCCACGCCACTGGCCGAGCAAGTGAAAACAGAGATAGATAAATGGGACTATCTTAAACTAAGAAGCTTCTGCACCTCCAAAGAAACAGTGACCAAAATACAAAGACAGTCTACAGAATGGGAAAGGATATTCACCGAATACACATCTGACAAGGGGTTGATATCCAGGATATACAAAATACTGGTTAAACTCCACAAGAAGAAAACATCCAACCCCATCCAAAAATGGGGCAATGAAATGAACAGAAACTTTCTCAAAGAAGAAATCCGAATGGCAAAAAAGCACATGAGAAAATGCTCTACATCATTAATCATCAGGGAGATGCAGATCAAAACCACAATGAGATACCATCTCACACCTCAGAGACTGGCCCACATTCAAAAGAACAAAAGCAACCGATGCTGGCGTGGATGTGGCGAGAAAGGGACACTCCTTCACTGTTGGTGGGAATGTCCACTGGTTCAGCCCTTCTGGACAACAGTATGGACGATTCTCAAAAAATTAGAAATTGAGCTCCCATTTGACCCAGCAATACCACTCCTGGGAATATATCCCAGAGAGGCAAAAATGTATAGTCGAAGTGACATCTGCACTTGTTTGTTCATTGCAGCCCTCTTTACAATAGCCAGAAACTGGAAGAAACCTGAATGCCCAAGAACAGATGACTGGTTAAAGAAACTTTGGTACATCTACACAATGGAGTACTATGTAGCTCTTAGAAAAGATGAAGTCATGAAATTTACATACAAGTGGTACAATATGGAAAGTATCATGCTAAGCGAAATGAGTCAGAAAGAGAGGGATAGACATAGAAAGATTGCATTCATCTGGGGGATATAAAGTAACAAAGTATGAGATTAATACCCAAGAATAGCTGAGATCAGCACCAGGAGGATTACTCCATAACTTAGAGGCCAGCCGGGTATCCTAGAGGAAAGGGCTATTCAGATAGAGAAGGGAGCACCAAATAAAGGATGTTTGGAGGATCCTCCCAGGAGGGGAGATGCATGTCGAAAGTAGACTATGGACTGAACATGTTTGCCACTCAATGCCTCTTTTGCAGACCACAACACCCAAAAGGAGAGAGAGAACACAGGGGATTGCCCTGCCACAGAGACAGGGGGGATGGGGGGATGGGGGTGGGAGGGATATTATCCATGGTGGTGGAAAATGGGCACTGGTGGAGGGATGGGTATCTGATCATTGTATAATTGAAACCAAAGCACAAAAAATTGTAAATCTACAACTTTAAAAAAAATAAAATAAAATAAAGGGGAAAAAAATTAAAAAAAAAATAATAAAAAAAAAAAGAAAGTATAGGGTTTAAGGTATTTGTCTCATACCAATTTATTTAAAGTATTTGCTAATCCAATTTATTTCCTGGCACCACATGTGGTTCCCTGAATGACCACTGAGGATATAGCCAGAAGTAAGCCTTGAATATCACTGGGTATGAACCCCCCAAAAAATGTTTGACTTTTGGCACACAATACCTTGCAGTATTTTCTCTGAAGATTAGAGTTGCTTACTGATGCTTTATTTACAACCACATATCATTAAGCAAATCTAGCATAAAAAATGTATTTTCCCTTCCTCCCTAATATGTAATATAAAATCTGGCATAATGTAGGAATTCCAAAAATGTCAGTAGAGTGAATTAAAATGTCAATATGTAATCAGTATCTTTTGAATACACAGTATCAATTTACGTATAATTTTGCAAAAATATTATGTTTAAAAATGATTTTCCATTTCTTTTGTTGTTATTGATGGTACAATGATAGGGGACACACACTCTTACTCCTGATGTTCACTTGCATCCAGTGCCCATTGGAGATTGACACCTGGCCTCAGTGCTTGAATGTCTGATTTCCTTAATGGGGCCAACCCCAGCGTCTGAGCCCAGTTCTCAGGGGGCACCAGGGGCACCACAGATGGCAGTGCAAGGAGATAGGGCAGTGTCAGGGATGAAACACAGGACTTGGCACATCTACAACCACTTGAGCTATCTCCCTGGCTTCTCAAACATCTTGTAGTTACAGCATGCTCTGGGGGTTGTACACTGTACACAGTTGCCTGTAAACTAGAAACTAGCATTCAGCTCAGCATCGGAGTCCAGACATTAGAGCTGCCAGGGCTGTGCACCACACAGTTGAGCAGCACGGGGGACTAAACTCATGACCTCACACTTGTAATGCAATTAGCCACTGAATCATGTCCTGGTCCAAATAAATCATTTTAGAGAAATTTAGAAGTATGTTATCCAAAAGATCCATCCCAAACTTAGATCTAATTAGGAATTCAGAATTTCCCAGGTTTTAGAAAGTAATATAGGTTAAATATACCATAATTAACCTAACACTTCCAGCATCTGCTAAGATGACACACGATTATATTTCAGCAGAGAAATATCTGAAGGTTCACACTAAGTAGCTTATGTATTGCTTTACATCCATTCAGATCTAGTCCTGACACCAAATGAATTTGCTTCAAAGTAGGGGGAAAATATCTTGGTTTTCAGAACTATTTGGTCTTATAAATTATGGCTAAGGAGCTGTGGAATTATTTGGAATGAATGATATATTTATTCTGTCTAGAATGAGCAGTTTTGGTTAGTCACTCGAAGTCCTCCATATAAGCAGGTGTAAGTAAAGTGAGTGAACAGTTTTCTAATTTTAGAAGCAAGTCATTACTCCTTTACCCAAGAACAAATACCTGTCCCCAAGATGGTAAAGGTCAGGTTTGGTCCACTGAAGTGAGACCTTACCAACTTCCCTAAAACTTGCATGGGGGAAAGACTGCTTAACTTCACAGGGGTTCAGGATATAACATCTCCAAAGAGGCCTATGTATGTGTTGGACCTTCCGAGGATCCACTATCCCATAATTCACAATAGAAGTGTCAAGCTACTAATTAGGTTCCATGCTGGCTCTGGCCATGATCCTTTGGCTTGAAGCTCTCAGAAACACTCTCAAAGGATACCTGGAAGCAATAATACCATTCTCTAAGTTCTATAAAAGGTCATGTTGCTTTCTACATTTTGAGTTCCAAAAATAGCCTCATCCTGCCATTTCCCCATACAGCTCACAACTATGTGATTTTCCCAGATAGAAAGTAGCTTGTGCTGCTTAGTGTTGGGGAGTGGAAATCTGGTGGTGAGATCAGGGGATAATGTACATTCGAAGCACCTGTCTAGGATTTTCACTTAAATTTTGTGTGAATTTATTGGTTATTAATTACATCAGAGCTCTTTATTTCCCAAGCTCTGCATAAGAATGAAGATTGCCAACTCATGACAATAAATTGTGTGCAGATTCTCAGAGTAAGTAGTTTAAAAGAGCAAGTAAGAAAGACCCCTGAAGATGAAAATGAATGGGTACGAATTCAATCTATAAAACTTAGTTCATTGACTAAACTAGAAATGGAGGCTTTATTTTTCCTGGGATCTCAACATCAACATTCCAGTTTCTGAAACTTCAATTGAATTATTTTGCATCTCTTATGGACCAAGTAAAATATTAGAGAGAATATAGCTCTGTTGGGTAAAAGGCAAAGATTGGCAAAATTTGACTGTACTCTATATTCCTCTAACTAAATTTTGAGGTTGGGCTTCTGTAACATGAACTTAACCAAAACATATCTAAAACTGTCTATTTGTTTTCACAATCACTGCTGTTTCTTTTTTTTTTTTTATCTTATATCACTAGATATCTTGTCTGTTTTTTTCCTAGTGCTATAAAAAATTCGGTGCCATTCAAAGACATGGATTCAGACAAGTACAGTGTTTTCCCCGTAAGTATTAAGAGTAACCATATGTTTCTGAAATACTGCACTGCTTTCTGAAAATTTTTCCTGAAAACTCTTTTAAAGTAAGACAGGTTGAATTGTATTTGAATGTGTTCTTAATTTGCCATTACACCATTTCACGATTTTTAAGGAATTTTTGGGAAATCCTAGACCTAAACTGCTTTTGTTTCCTGAAGTTATTCCCAGCTACAATTCTCCACTGGATCAATGATCTTGAAAAAGTGCTGTGAATCATTTTGGAAATATGCGTACTTTAATTTACTCATTAGAAGTGTGTGTCTATGCATGTGTGCATCTTTGATTTAAAGCAGTTAGGATGTCAGGATATTTCCTGTGAGAGCAAACAATTAACAAATGTCACAAATTCCTCAAAGATTGTGTGATCTCAGATTCACTACTTGTGAAAGGCAAATAAAAATATAGTTCCTGCTATCGTGTCTCTGGATCCTTTTAGACTACACAGATAAAATATATAATTATCCCACATAATTACCTAATTTAGCTAGAAATATTTTAATTTTTAGGCAAAATGATCCATCATTTGGCCAATAATCCAAATGTTTGGAGGATAATGTACTTGAAGATTATTTGAAAAAAGTTCAGAAAGTTAGAAGATCCTGCCATTTGTGGAAGCAGAAATTCATACCAGTGCATACAGAAGCACATACAAGTACATGCCTGTGCACAACATGCATAACTAACCACACATATGAATGCACACACAGACACGTTCTTAAACATGAACCCCATACATGCAACCAAAGTCATATGCACACACCTTCACACACCTCCACCTGGTAGTCAATTACCTTTTACCTCATAAAGTAGGTCTTGCATATAAACCACAAATGTACTCATGATCTCTGGTATTCCTAGATCGTATTGGAAATTAAAAATGGCAGATGTCAATATCCCTTGGGCAGCTCTGAATGACTTTTATCTTGGATAACCTCAAGGTAGAACTGATCTTTGCCTGTGTGTGCTCTTCAATTTCAGACTCTGCGGGGTTATCACTGGCGTGGGAGAGACTGCAATGACAGCAACAAGATGGTATACCCAGGAAGAAGGTAACTGCCTCTGCTGGTCGCTGACTTTGAAAATTATCTCCCGGAAAAGAGGATCAGCTCCCTCCACTAGCAAGAGGGTTTCAACTTACAGACATAAGGGTCCTCTATTTCCTTATTGATTAGAAAGCACAGTGAAAAAATCATTCATTTGTCAAAAACACCCATGTTGGGTAGTGGTAGTTGGGTAGAAATAAGCATCCTCTTGTGGTGGTTGCTAAAGGGAGATACAAGAAAGTAAACATGAACACATTGTTTGCAGCAGGAACAGGTGTTGATATATCCAGCAATGCTCAGGGTTATGCCTGCTCTGTGCTCAGGTCTCACTCCAAAGATGCCCAGGGAAACAAGAGGTCAAACCCAGACCTCCCACTTTCAAGTAAAATGCTCATCCCCTTGATTATCTTCCCAACCCAATTGTGAATACTTACCTAGCCTCAGCCTCCAAAATGAGTTTGCATGCAGGGTTGGACTCAGAAATTGTAGTTTTTTTCCCCACCAGTCACCAGAAAAAGGGCTTTGCTCCCGTGGCTGTAATACAATGCCACCCTTTAGATCTGAGCTGATGACCTCCAAGTTAAAAAAATGAACATGAGGGCCAGGAGGCCTGGTCCTTGCCACAAAATGGAGAAGGGGGTTAGGTCAGAAAAGGAACCTAGATGATAATGATAGTAAGAAGTGATCACTCTGGACAGAATGGAGTGCTGAAAGGAGGTAAAGTCATATGCATGATATCTTTTCAGTAATGGTATCAGCAAACCAAAGTGCCCAAAAGTGAAAAAGTGTCTTTCACAGAAACAGGCTGGGGGCAGGAAAATATCTGGGGACATTGGTGAAGGGGAGTGGACACTGGTGAAGGGATGTTCCCTCCAACATCTCTCAGTGAAACTCCATCATGAGCAGCTCTGTAACTTGTGTCTTTTGGTGATTCAACTTAAAGGAGAGAGAGAAAACATGAATTTGCCATCCTCTGTGTAGTCTGCGACTACAGTGCTAAAACACAAAACAAACCCAACATTTAGGATTTGGGAAACACAGTTATTTAGTTTTTGGCTTTGGGGGCCACCCCCAACGTTACTTAAGGCTTTTCCCTGGCTCTTGGTGGTACTCAGGGACCATTTGTGGTGCTGGAGATCAAACCAAAGTCGGTTACACGCAAGGCAAGCACTTTAATCCCAGTTCTCTCTCTGGAGACCTAGAACCATGATTTTACTTGATTTTATTTATTTTTAGTTGGAGTGTTTGGGGGCCATTATTTTAATGTCTTCACATACCTCTATAAAATGTAGTATAGGTGATTAATTATGCTGATTCAATCACAATAAATTCTATGGATATGATCAATAATAGATTTGTTTCAAAGTTCTTCACTAATATTCAAACCAAAGATAGTGGCAAAAAGTCAAGGTAGAGACTTTTGTGCATACAAGAGTATATGAAACATGTCTAAAAAACATGGTTTATGATAATACTTCATGTAGCACTCATTAATTCACTCATTTATTTATTCATTTGTGAAGCTAACATTAACTGGATGATGTGTAGTTGCCAAATGCCCATGCTGGTGTTTTCTTCCTAGGCCAGACAACTGGGATATACATCAGGATTCTAACTGTAATGGCATTTGGGTAAGCAACTAAATTCTGATTGAACCTTATTCTCTTACTTTCTACCCACCTTAAGAGCCTGTTCCCTCTTTACTTTAGTTGTACCTAAGAAATAAACGGACAGATTAAAGCAACTCTGTTTCTGCTGTTTGGAAAAGGGATATGGAATTCTCATCACGTGTGAGGCATGTCAGTGATGGAATCAGAGTGGGGTTGCTTTCAATAGCAACCCTATAAACCTAGCTTAAAGTCACCCACATCTAATCCCTTTTTCCTTTCCTTAAGAGTGTGAAATTTAGTGGAGAGTAGTAGTAGTAAGGCTTGCAACAATCCTAAAGAATTAGAGCAATCCAGATGCTGTCACCATTTTTGTTCCCTTCATTCTTTTTTTTTCTTCTTTATTGAATCACTGTGAGATACAGTTACAAAGCTGTTCTTGATTGGGTTTAAGTCATACAGTGTTCCAACACCCATCCCTCCACCAGTGGCCATTTCCCACCATCAATAAGAATGTAGTATCATTCCTGCCACTGCCAGCCCCCGGCCTGTCTCTATGGCAGTCTCTCTCTCTCTCTCTCTCTCTCTCTCTCTCTCTCTCTCTCTCTCTCTCTCTCTTTCTCTCTCTCTCTTTATCTCTCTCTCTTTCTCTCCCTCTCCCCTCCCACTCTGTCAGGCATCATCCTTCTCAATACAGATACTGAGAGGTTATCAAGTTTGTTCCGTTACCTACTTTCAATTTTATTTTATTTTTATAAAATTGCTCACAATAGTTTATTACATTTAGTAGTCCAACACCAGTCCCACCACCATTACACCTTCCCACCACCATATTTTGAATCTTTCCACCCCAAACCCCAAAGCCTACTCCCAAAGTAGGACCTAAATAATTTATATTATATTGCTTCTTGTGAATAATCTGCTAAAAATGATACAAAATTTTCCTTAGAGGAAAGTATGTGAAGATTGTTGTATTTTAGCCTGGGGCTATTAAGTCCTTGTATAAGAGATTACTAACATGCTGTTAAAGTTTGAGACTTGTGAGTTAATATATAGATATTTCCCCCTCGAGATTGGTTGCCTTCTACTTTATACCCCATCCAATGTGGTATGCTACTCTTGGTACAGTTGTGGTGTAGAAAGAGATGTCATTCAGCCTCTAATGTGGCCATGTGCTCCAGGAATTCTAAAATTTTAAGCTTGGTTATAAATCTGAGGTTAATTTAAATTTTTTTAACTGAATGGTGACTTTGGGGTCTGGAGGCATCTTTGCGGAGTATCACTCTGTGTTGCTCTCTTCTGAGAGATTTAGTTGTGAGTCTCTGGATCATATCTGTTAATGAGATTATATGGCACCAGAGACAGTTCGTGGGCATGACTGTCAGACTACTGGAAGCAAAGGGAGATGGAAGGAGGACAACCATTCCAGACTCTATGAGAGTCTCGAGATTTCAGTCACAAATTCTGCATACCTTTCCAGTCATTCTTTTCCTGTTTCATAAGACTAGTCAAGAGTAGAAATTACCCTGATATTGCCTTACCACCCACATCTGAATCATCTAATGCTGCTGTCCTAGTTCTCTGTGAAGAATGAATTCACAGCTTTCCAGCAGACAAAAGAGAGGGAAGGGTGGAAAACAGTCAAATTCTTACCTAAAGATGTCAATGGCAGCAGGTTTTATGGGCTCTTAAACTTATACAATTTGATACAATATAAAGAAAAATTGTACCAAATTACAAAAGCAAAACCCAGCACGAAAATAAATAATTGAGCAATAAAAGATATCCTAATCAATTACTGGAGTCTTGAAATTCAGGTTCCATTCCTTTTCTTTCTCTTTTTATAAGGATTTCACCCAACAAAGTTTGGAGAATTTGTACAGAGGTGGTCTGGAGTTAGTAGAACTACACCTGGAGGTGCCAAAAGGGAGGGTATGTGGTGTCAGAGATCCAATTAAGGCCTGTACACAGTAGGCATATGCTATACTAGATGAGCTGTCTTCCCAGTTCACAGATATTTCTTTTGATCCCTCTTCCAATTTCTGAGGAGAAACGGCATGAAAATAGGTCTCAAATATAGCCTGACTTCTCCTCACCTAGAACTCAGTATGGCTCTCAAGCCATCCCTAGCAACCAGGCAGGCAGAGAACATGTAAATAGGAGCCATGAAGTTTAAGATTTATCACTTGGAGGCAGGGAGATTGCTCAGTGGTCAGGGATGCATGCATGCACCAGATGCAAGTTCAAAATCTTGCACACACCAAATGTATTTCTGGAGACTCCTAAACATACTACTGGTATGGCCCTGGTGATCCCAGCATCCTTAGGACCTGGAATGGAACCATCTGGTCAGGTGAAGTATCCCTAGAAGTAGCCCCAGGTACCCTGAACATTGCTTGGGAGGCCTATACTGCATAAATCAGTAAATAAGTAAATAATAAATAAATAAATAAATGAAAAATAAATAAATGAAATTTAAAATCAATTTAAATTTCAAAATCAATTTAAAATCAATTCACCACTTCACATAAATTTATGCTTCTGAACAATTGTCCCTTTTAATTGTTAGGTGCAGAGAAGAAAGTTTCTGTAAACACTTCCCTCTCTCCAAGGCACTGAATGTCCATAGCCTACAGGATGTTGAGAGTCGGACAGATCACAGTACAGCCCACCCCTCCCACAGAGTTTCAGTCATTCTGCCTTTCCCACCTCCACATTTTGGATTTTTCCTCCCAAACCCCCAAAGCCTGCCCCCAAAGCAAGACCTGAATAATTTATTTTGTATTGCTTGTTAAGAATAATCTGCTAAAAATTATCCAACATTTTTTTCTTAGAGGAAAGTGGGGCAGACAGGAAGACATCTTCCCCAGATCTCAAGTTGAAAAAAACTAAGGTCGCCTTGATCTGGTAAACACAGCTTAGTTATCATGCTGGAGACTTACTCGTGTGGGAGGCTGCTCTGTGTTCTGGGGGCCATTCTGTCCCTGATGGCTATAAGAGACTGTTTCAGTGCATGGAAGTCAATCAGGAACTCAGGAAACCGAGACTTAGGCAATGGCAGAAAGGCACATTGCCTTAATATCTCTCCCTTTCATGGAGGAAAACAATGCCCAGAGTCATAAAATCATAAAGACAGAAGGGACTTTAAAAACCATCTTGGATATTAAGGGCATTCAGGTAGGAAAGGAAGAAATCAAGCTCTCACTATTCGCAGATGATATGATACTATACTTAGAGAACCCAATAACCTCCACCAAAAAACTCCTAGAAACAATAGACTTGTATAGTAAAGTTGCAGGCTATAAAATCAATACCCAAATGTCCATGGCTTTCCTATACGCAAACAGTGAGAGAGAAGAAAGCTACATGAAAAAAACAATCCCATTCACAATTGTTCCCCAGAAAATCAAGTTCCTAGGAATCAGCTTAACTAAGGAAGTAAAGGACCTGTACAAAGAAAACTACAAAACGCTACTTCAGGAAATAAAAGAGGACATGAGGAAATGGAAAGATATCCCCTGCTCATGGGTCGGGAGACTTAACATTGTCAAAATGGCAACACTACCGAAAGCATTGTATAAAGTCAATGCAATCCCTATAAGGATACCCATGACATTCTTCAAAGAAATGGAGCAAACACTCCTGAAATTTATATGGAACAATAAGCCCCCACGAATACCTAAAGCAATTCTTGGGAAAATGAAAATGGGAGGAATCAACCTCCAGAACTTCAAACTGTACTACAAAGCAGTAATAATTAAAACAGCATAGTACTGTAACAAAGGCAGAACTGCAGACCAATGGAACAGGGTTGAATACACTGACATCTCCCCTCAATCATATGATCATCTAATCTTTGATAAAGGTGCAAGAAATGTGGAGTTAGGAAATCCTCTTTAACAAATTATGCTGGCATTACTGGACGGCTACATGCAAAAAAGTGGGCTCAGAACTCTGCCTAACACCATGTACAAAAGTAAGATCAAAATGGATTAAAGACCTCAACATCAGACCAGAAACCATAAGGTACATTGAAGACAAAGTTGGCAAAACCCTCCATGACATTGAAGCTAATGGTATCTTCAAAGATGCCATGCCACTGGCGAAGCAAGTGAAAACAGAGATAGATAAATGAGACTATCTTAAACTAAGAAGCTTCTGCACCTCAAAAGAAACAGTGACCAAAATACAAAGACAGTCGACAGAATTGGAAAGGATATTCGCCGAACACACATCTGACAAGGGGTTGATATCAAGGATATACAAAATACTGGTTGAACTCCACAAGAAGAAAACATCCAACCCCATCAAAAAATGGGGCAATGAAATGAACAGAAACTTTCTCAAAGAAGAAATCCAAATGGCAAAAAAGCACATGAGAAAATGCTCTACATCATTAATTATCAGGGAGATGCAGATCAAAACCACAATGAGATACCATCTCACACCTCAGAGACTGGCCCACATCCAAAGGATGGGACCGGGGGGGGGGGGGCATGGGGAGGGGATGCTGGGATCCGTGGTGATGGATGACGGGCACTGGTGGAGGGATGGGCACTTAATCATTGTATAACTGAAACCCAAGCACAAAATTTGTAAGCCTATAACTGTACCTCATGGTGTTTCACTAATTAAAAAAAAATGAAAAAAAAAAGGAACAAAAGCAATCGATGCTGGCGCGGATGTGGCGAGAAAGGCACACTCTTTCACTGCTGGTGGGAATCTCGACTGGTTCAGCCTTTCTGGAAAACAGTATGGACGATTCTCAAAAAATTAGAAACTGAGCTCCCATTTGACCCAGCAATACCACTCCTGGGAATATATCCCAGAGAGGCAAAAATGTATAGTCGAAGTGATATCTGCACTTGTTTGTTCATTGCAGCACTCTTTACAATAGCCAGAAACTGGAAGAAACCTGAATGCCCAAGAACAGATGACTGGTTAAAGAAACTTTGGTACATCTACACAATGGAGTACTATGTAGCTGTTAGAAAAGATGAAGTCATGAAATTTACATACAAGTGGTACAACATGGAAAGTATCATGCTAAGCGAAATGAGTCAGAAAGAGAGGGATAGACATAGAAAGATCTCATTTATCTGGGGAAAATAAAGAAACAAAATATGAGATTAATACCCAAGAATAGCTGAGATCAACACCAGGAGGATTACTCCATAGCTTAGAGGCCAGCTGGGCATTCTAGGGGAAAGGGCAGCTCAGATAGAGAAGGGAGCACCAAATAAAGGGTGTTTGGAGGATCCTCCCAGGAGGGGAGATGCATGTCGAAAGTAGACTATGGACTGAACATGTTTGCCACTCAAAGCCCCTTTTGCAGACCACAACACCCAAAAGGAGAGAGAGAACACAGGGGATTGCCCTGCCACAGAGGCAGGGTGAGATGGGAGCGATGGGGGTGGGAGAGATATTATCCATGGTGGTGGAAAATGGGCACTGGTGGAGGGATGGGTATTTGATCATTGTATAATCGAAACCCAAGCACAAAAAATTGTAAATCTACAACTGTACCTCATGGTGTTTCACTAAAAATAATAAAAAAAAAACATCTTGGAGACATAGAGATAGTACAGTGGGTAGGATGCTTGCCTTGCACATGGCTGACCTGGGTTTGATTCCTGGCATTCCATATGGTTCACAAGAACATCAGGAGTAATCCCTGAGCGCAGAGATAGAGGTAAGTCCTAAGAACTGGGTGTGGCCCAAAAAATAAAAACAAAAACAAAAGATTCTAATCAAATATTTCCCAAACTTCTGGACTCATAGAACCCTACTGTTCAGTATGAGGTTAAGCTATATGGAGGAGTGATTCTACTGTCAAGATTAAGGAAATATTTGGCCAAATAAAGCTGACTAATTTTTTTTGCTTCCAGATTCCTCATTCAATGATTTAAAATGCATTAGATGACCCCAAGACCCAGAAAGTGATCACAGTTTTCCTCACTCTCTTAACGATCAAGCACTTTCATTACTAATACTAATAATATGTAGTAGAATTCAGTGCTTCTCCAGATTACATTTTGCAAACAAACAAACAAACAAAAAATAGAAATGTATATGTAAACAAATACCTCTTTTTAAAAACATACTATTTAAAATAAGTAATTTTATTGACGTTTTGTTCTTTTTATAGCTGATGTTAAATTCTTGATTTTTTCAAGATACATCAAATGTCAAAAAACAATACTATCTCTTTGCACATCAAAAAAAGAATCCTTATAAATTTCAAATTTTATTCATTCTAAAATGTATAGCTATGGTATATAAGAGACATGAAGAAAGCTATTAAAAATAATGAGGGACTATCACATGGGCTGAAAGAAAGCAGAGGGGCCTTAAAACACCAACCCAGCAGGCTCTATGTTCACCAACTTCTTTTATTTTAATATTTTAGTATTAACAGTAGAAATGACATCTGCACCTGTATATTCACTGCAGCACTGTTCACAATAGCCAGAATCTGGAAACAACCCTAGTGGTCAAGAACAGACTAGTGGTTAAAGAAACTTTTGTACATCTACACAATGGAATACTATGAAGCTGTTAGGAAATACGAAGTCTTAAAATTTGCTAAGTGGATGGTCACATGCTAAGTGAAATGAGTCAGAGAGATACAGGCCTAAAAGTACTGCACTCATTTGTGGAATATAAAATAACATAATGTGAGACTGACACCCAAGGACAGTAGACACAAGGGCCACGAATATTGCTCCATAGTTGAAAGTCTGTCTCATGATCTGGGGGATAGAGAAGGGATCACTAAGTCAATGATGGTTGGAAGAATCATTCTAGATGGGAAATGTGTGCTGAAAGTTGATAAAGAATCAAATGTGATAGCCTCTCAGTATCTATATTACAAACCATAATGCCCCAAAGTAGAGAGAAAGTATGGGGGAAGTTGTCTGCCATAGATACAGGGGACATTGATGATGGAAAATGTGCACTGGTGGAGGGATGGGTGTTTGATCATTGCATGACCTGAAACTCAAACATGAAAGCTTATAACTGTATCTCACAGTGATTCAATTAAAAAATTATTATTGAATCACTGTGCGATAGATCTTTACAAAGCTGCTCATAATTTGGTTTCAGTCATACAGTGTTCCACCTAGCCCTTCACTAGTGTACATTTCCCAGCCCGAGTGTCCCCAGTTTTTCCCTCCCATTATCACCCCCACCCCATAGCCTCTATGGCAGGCATTTCTCTTCTCTCTCTCTCTCTCTCTGTTTCTCTCTCTCCCCTCTCTCTTTCTCTCTCTCTCATTGTGGTTTGAAGATATTGAAGGGTTATCCTGAATATCCTTTTACCTATTTTTAACACTCAGTTCTTGTCCAGTGTGATCATTACCAGTTACTATTGTCATCTTGGTCCCTTCTCTGTCTTACCTACCCTCCAATCCACACTAAACAAATATCTCTTAAAAACATTCCTTGACTCTTCCAGTGACCAATATTGCTAAAGGCAGCTTTGTTATGGGTTTTAAGTCTCCTCAGTTAATCATAACTCAGCCTCATGTCAAGCCTGACCTAAGTCTTGCAATATTGATGTGAGACCAGAAACTTTCTTTGTTGGTGGATACTACCCCATGAACTATAGGATATTGCACACCATCCCTGACCTTTATCCACTAGATGCCAGTAATTCCTAGTTCCCCAATTGTAACAAGTATATCTCCAGACACTGTCAAATGTTCCTTGTGTGTATCTATTGGGAGACGGGGCAGTGGTGGTGAAGAAGTCTTTACCTCACTGAGTGTAACTTCTCTAAAACCATCTGTCTCTGGACACTGGACCTCTTACAATACATTGGGCTCTAGCTCAGACTGCTGTGTCCACTCAGACCTATGTCCCCCTATGTCCCAGTGGACCCTCAGTGACAGCTCCACACTGCAAAGTCCTGTCCTGCATCCTTAGGAAGTATATGATCCAGGTTCTGGGACTGTCCTTACTCTTGTCCCAGATCCTTGAGCTCCATCTTGCTTGCATGGAGTGGTGCTCCATTGAATTAAGAACCCAGGAGGCTTTGAAGGGTTTTATATACTGATTTGACTTTGGTTATTATTATTTTTTGCTTTGCTTTGTTTTATTTAGAGGCTGCATCCAGAGTTGCTCTGGGAATCATATGTGGTACTTTTAAGCCACTTGGGCAATATTTAATGTATGTGTCCCATACATTTAAAAGCAAGCTACTAATCTCAAACTTTCTCTTTTAAAGGGGATTGATCCAAGTGATGGAATTCCATATGAGAAAAAATTCTGTGAAGGTATGAATGTTTAAAACTGATGTGCTTATTAAATAGAATATTATGTAATTCTTGTCTGATCTGTGTACAACTAAATTTAACAGACTACCAAAGCAGTCATCAGCTAAGTTGACAAATTTGCATTAATTTTTATGCCAATTGGAAAAAGAGATTAAAAAATCATTTAAAAATGGAGGGAAATGCTCAAAACTTATTCTGCTTAACTGATCCCTTTATTTGGAAGATATAAATTTTAATCTTAATGCTAGAAAATGAAACACCTGATAAGTAATAGCAATAAAAATCGAAGTCTTCTCCAAATAAGAAAGTGAATAACCATGGCCTTTTAAATTCTATCTCATGCTCTTCTTGATATACTAAACTTCTGAACATGTAGTCATAATTTCTGTGTTAAATTCAGGGTGAGAGACTCATGTCTGGGGGCTGGAGTGATAGCACAGTGGGTAGGACATTTGCCTTGCACATGACCGACCCAGGTTCAATCCCCCACACACCAGGAGTAATTCCTGAGTGCATGAGCCAGGAGTAGCCCCCCTGTGCATCACCGAGTGTGACCCAAAAAGAAAAAAACTCATATCTGGATGGCTTTAAAGAGACCTCTAAGCTATTGTCATTAAAGTTTTCCAAAAAATATAGCAAAGGTGCTATATTGTAAGTGCTTAAATACCACAGACACCCAGACTCTGGGTAATTTTATTTTATTAATTTTTTGGCTTGTGTTACTGTTTTATTTCATTTATTTTTTATTTTTATTGAATCACCATGAGATAGTTACAAGCTTTCATGTTTGGATTACAATCACACAATGATCAAACACCCATCCCTCCACCAGTGCACATTCCCCATCACCAATCTCCCCAGTATCACCCCCTCCCACCCTCCCCCTACCTCCCTGGCAGATAATATTCCCCATACTCTCTCTCTACTTTTAGGCATTATGGTTTGCAATACAGACACTGAGAGGTTATCATGTTTGGTCCATTATCTACTTTTGGCACACATCTCCCATCCCGACTGATTCCTCCAAGCCATCATTTTCTTAGTGATCCCTTTTCTATTCCATCTGCCTTCTCCCTCTGCTCATGATGCGGGCTTCCAGCTATGGGGCAATCCTCCTAGCCCTTATATTTACTGTCTTGGGTGTCAGCCTCATGTTATGTTATTCTATACTCCACAAATGAGTGCAGTCCTTCTGTGTCTGTCCCTGTCTTTCTGACTCATTTCACTTAGCACGATACTCTCCATGTCTATCCATTTAAAAGCAAATTTCATGACTTCAACTCTCCTAACAGCTACATAGTATTTCATTGTGTAGATGTACCAAATTTTTTAAATCAGTCATCTGTTCTCAGGCACTTGGGTTGTTTCCAGGGTTTGGCTATTGTGAACAGTGCTGCAATGAACATATAGGTACAGATGTCGTTTCTATTGTGCTATTTGCATCCTCAGGATATATTCCCAGAAGTATTATTTCGGGGTTATATGAAAGCTCAATTTCTACTTTTTGAAGGAATGCCCATATTGCTTTCCAGAAAGACTGGACCAGTTGGCATTCCTACCAACAGTGAAAGAGCGTCCCTTTTTCCCCACATCCACGCCAGCACTGGTTGCTTTTGTTCTTTTGAATGTGTGCCAGTCTCTGTGGTGTGAGATAATATCTCATTGTTGTTTTTATTTGCATCCCCCTGGTGACTAGCGATGTGGAGCATTTTCTCATGCGCCTTTTGGCCATTTGTATTTCTTTCTTTATTTCTTCTCCCCATTTTTTGATGGGATTGGAGGTTTTTTTTCCTTGTACAATTCTACTAGTGTCTTGTATATGCTGGATATTAATCTCTTATCAGAAGGGTATTGTATAAATATTCTTTGTCATTCTGTGGGCTCTTTCTGTATTTTGGTCACTGTTTCTTTTGAAGTCCAGAAGCTTCTTAGTTTGATGTAGTCTCATTTGTTTATGTTTGGTTCCACCTTGCATGGCCAGTGCTGTTTCATCCTTAAAGACACTTTTAGCTTCAATGTCATGGAAGGTTCTGCCTACATTTTCCTCTATGTATCTTATGGATTCATGTCTGATATTGAGGTCTTTAATCCACTTTGACCTGAATTTTGTGCCTGTCATTAGACAGAGGTCAGAGTTCAGTTTTTGCAGGTAGCTATCCAGCTTTCCCAGCAAGACTCTGGGTAATTTTAGGAGAAGCATACAATCCCCCCACCCCCCGACACACACACACATGCCACTGGAAAGATGATCTTGGTTTTGATGCCCCCCAAACTCTCCAGCCTAGCATTGAAGTAGTGTCACTGCTCTATGTTCAGGAAATATTTTTTTCATTTTCAACCACACCCAGTTGTGCTCAAGAATCACTCCTGGTGATGCTTTGGGGACCACTGGGGATGCTAAGACAGCCTCATGCAAGGCAAGCGCCTTACCTCCTGTGGTAACACCAAGAAGCATTCCATTTCTTTAGTTCTCTGTTAAGCAGAATATCTCAAATACCTATTTATTATGCACTAAGGGTGATTTTTGGCTCTGAGCTTTCATGGGAAGATAAGAAACAGTCCTTGAGGGATGGGTGTTCTATCATTGTGTAATTGAAACCCAAGCACAAAAATCTACAACCGTACCTCATGGTGTTTCACTAATAAAAATTTAAAAAAAAAAGAAACAGTCCTTGTCCTCAATCAACTTTAAAGTCTTTAAACTCTCAGGAGTCAGGAAAAAGGTACAAATTAATACATCCATTCAGTTTAGAAATCTTTATTGAGTAAATAAAATAATGAATAAACAAATTAACAAACAAACTCAGCTTTAAGTGAAATCTGGTGTGAGACTCTGGGGTCATTGTACAGATCCTATTGGCTACCCCTAAATCCTGCTTCCTTAATGTCCTAGTACTTCCCACTGCCCCTTTGTGTGGCCAGGTGCTGGCTCTCCTGGACCCCCAATATGAGGAACCACTGGAGAGAGGTGGTCATTCTCTGGTATGAGTTTTGGAAGTTAGAGGTGAGGGAAGGAGAATTCACCCTCTCTTTCACTATAGCAGACACTGGCTTACTTCCAAACCCATAAGAAATTACCCAAGAGGGAAAAATTTATATAGCTTGGCTTCAGAATCAGGTAAAGTGATTCTTACCTTCCAAACAAACAGGACTACCTTTACATCTCAGGATACCCTTATATCTCCATTTCTACATGAATCAACCACAATCATCCACCCACTGCTCTTTGAATGAAAGACTTTAGACGATCACAACCATTTTTAGAAAATCAAAATGATTCCATGAATTCATTAATTCTTAAAGTGAATTATAACAGAAACTGATGGGGGTTTTTTTTGAGAAAGCAATTTCCAGAGCCAAAATGTAGGGCTCATTTCTGAGCTCAGATAAAGTGTTGATTTGTTTATTCTCCCATCATTCACTCACAGTGTTTTATGCTGAGCTAGGAAACACACCTGCATTTCCATAGCTTAGCTAGCAGCTCTGATAGCCTAGAAATCTCATTCAGCTCCTAAGTACTATACCCATCACTCTCCAACTTGCAAAAGGTGGTAATGCATCACTGTTATTATATTCTGTGCATGGTACAAGCACCAGGGTATCTGCTCTCACAAGTATCTAATCTAGAGATTTCAAACTATTTGAATGCATAAATAATGCAAATAAATTGTTCCACCTAGGTTCAGAACCCAGGGGAATTATTGTGCTGGGAGACTCAGCCGGGGCTCATTTTCAAATCTCTCCCCAGTGGCTCACAGCTTCGCAGATGTCTCTGGTAAGTAATTTTGTCAGTCAGCATTCGGATGTGCTGGCCTTTGTTTGCTTTCTCTTGCTCTTTCTGAATGGGATGCCAGCTCTTAACAGGTGCAAAATTCCCTGCTCAGCAAAACTGACCATAAAAGGCCCATCCACATCCATTCAGTTCAGTGTATTTCAATCAATCTGATAGGAAATTGGCTCACAGAGAAGATGGGTGGTGCCAGAGGGAAAGAAACTTCACTGTAGAGAGGAAAACTTCCCCTTAAAGCCATGCCTGGGCATGACTCAGAGAAACTCTGATCCAGAGAAAAGGAATTTCCAAAACAACAACTTGTTTTATATCAGACTAAAGCAACTAGACCTGACCACAGACACTCTGATTAAATCTCTCTCAAGGGAACTGGGAACCAACTGGGTACCCAGACATCCCTTTTTAAGATCAGCAAGCAGAGAACAGCTGGTCATATTAGAATGTTTGAGGGGCAGGGAGTATAATCTAGGAAGAAGAGCACTTTTCTTGCATGTTTGAACCTAGGTTCAATTCCCAGCACCAAAAAGAGCCCTGAGCACTGACAGGAGCACCAGGAGTGACCCTGAGCACAAAGGCAGGAGTAAGTTCTGAGCACCACAAAGTGTAACCCCCACCTCTCAAAAAATCTCATATTCTCTAAAGAATGATCTTATAAAAATATTCTTGTTGTGAGAAAGAGAGTAAAACTGTATAAAAATATTAAATTAAGACCCTCAATTGCTTTTACCCATGAAGAAGGAAGGATCTGATATCAGAAAAAAAGCTACTGTTGGGTGAAACAGTCATCTCCAGATGTGACAGATGTGGAAATACAATGGCAATACTGACTATTAGGTTAGACAAGGCTCTCATAAAAAGTTAAGTAAACCTAGATTGACCAGCAGAGGACATTATGAAACTCAGATCAGAAGTAGTACATACAGGCTCTAGAGCTAAAATAGGAAACCCCAAAAGAAGAAAATTAGTGAGGTAAAGAGGAAGCAGTGAGTAAACCAATCATAAAAGATTATTTTGTTGAGATGAGAAAATTCTTATTTCAAGTTCACACTCACACTCCCACAAAGAACTCTAGGTTTTCTCTAGGTTTTGGTATAAAATAGTTTATTTATTGTCATCGAATTCTCAATTTCCTTTTTGTAAAAAAATTTTTGGCCTCCAAAGCAATGCTCTAGGGCATCAGGAACCACTCCCAACCAACACTCACTAACCAGACCGCTTCATTGCTCTGGTCTATCAGTGTTGGGTTCAGTTCTCAGCACCACATAGTGTACCCTGAGCCAGGGCCACACCCATTGTGCTTGGGGACCTGCGGTGCCAGGAACCAAAACATAGAACCTCCCAAATGAATGTACTCCAGTCTCTGAGACATCTCCTCAGTTCCTGCCTTTTCTTATTATTCCAGGTATAAAAAAATACGCCTTTACATCTGCCTAACAAATAATCATTCACAAAAATACTTAGAGGAAAAACAACTCAGCATCAGATGTATCTCTCATTACTAGATTTCTTTTCTTCTTTCATCTTGGAGGAGGAAAAAGGAAAATGATCTAAATGATAAGGTATTATTCTTACTCAAAGAACATAGAAACCTAGTCTCAGTTATTCAAAGACTCAGAAAACATACCATTCTCATGTAGAGCGTCATCAAGCAAAATAAAAGAAGAAAACATTTTTATTGAAATTTCCATTTTCATTTTCCCCTCCCCTTCCTTTGTAATAGTAGTAGCAATGGTAGTAATATTTATTGTAACATTACTAGTAGTAATAATTAGTAACAACACTTGCAACGTTCAGGAGTCACAGGAATGCAGTATCTGTGGTGTGCAAGATGTCACACACTCGTTACACAGAGAATTCCACTTGTTTTGGGGATTACACTTGCTGGCATGGGGTGTTGCTGGGGCTCAAACTAGAAGCCTTACATCCACAATGCGGCCCCACCCCACCACTAAAACACCATGGAAAATGCTGTTACTCTAGTTATATAAAATATTCAAATCATAAACGTATGCATCTCAAAATTTCTAAAAGTAAAAGATTAACAAAATGCTAGAACATTTTATCACATATATGGGCTGGAGCAATAGCACAGTGGGTAGGGCATTTGCTTCACATGTAGCCAACCCGGGTTCGATTCCTCCATCCCTCTTGGAGAGTCTGGCAAGCTACCGAGAGTATCCCGCCCAGACGGCAGAGCCTGGCAAGCTCCCCGTGCATTATTCTATATGCCAAACACAGTAACAACAAGTCTCGCAATGGAGACGTTACAGGTGCCCGCTTGAGGATATCGATGAATAACGGGAGGGCAGTGTAACAGTGCTACAGTGCTATGGCAAGATAAATCCCCTAATAATCCTCTAATTCCTTCCCACATGGCACTTAGTTTTTTAATAATCAATCAATAAAAATAGTTTGATCTTTAGAGCTAATCAAAGAATCACAACTTTAAACAACAATGCATTGCTATTAGTCATCTACTAAGTAGCCAAACTGAGTCAGTGGATCGGAGATGGCTCAATGCACTCAGTTTATGTTTTGCTTGCAAAGTATTTTTATTCAATTGCTGACAACACATGGATCCCTGAGCACTTCCTGGAGTGACTCTCAAGTACAGCAGAGAGCTGGGAGTAGTCCCTGAGCACAACTGTACCTGACCTAAACTACAAACAAGCAGAATTGTTTTATTATAAATATGAGGAAATAGACATATTGTTAACCTCTCAGAAGAGTTTAACTGCTAAAACTACTCTGAAAGGTGATTTCCACTATGTATAAAGTGATGCTAAAATGCTTGTCACTTTAATCAGTAATTATGCATCTGGAAATTTGTCTTGAAAATTTCCAAGTCTTTTGCTCTAAGTACATGAGCATTCATCAACAATTAAGTTTCCTGTTTTTGTTTAGGGGCTATGTCCAACAGTGCTCACTCCTGGCAGAGCAGAACTCAGGGAACCATATGTGGTGCCAAGGAGTCAAATATGGGTCAGCATCCAGCAACACAAGTGCTTTCTCAGTAGTTATTTAACACACATACAAAATCAAAGCATTCAGTGTCTAAAGTTTTATATTGAAAATTAATTAGTATGGAAAACATTGATGCATGTATAAACACATTTCTTTCTTTTTAAACATTTTCCCCATTTTTACTGAGGGTGTCATGATTTTTAATACTGTCAATGATAGAGTTTCATGCATGCAATGTTTCAATACCACACCCAGCACCAAAATATCTTTCTTCTACTAATGTCCCAAGGACTACTCCCAGTCATCTCCCTCCTCCAGGTAAGCTCAGTTCTCAGGTTATATAGCCTTTGACTATTCCCCTATTATGTTTCTTTGTTTCCCACATATGGGAAGATCATTCTGTATCTGTCCTTCATCCAGCTAACTTCACACAGCATAATACCTCTAGTTCCGTTGGTATGAAAGAACACCTCACACTAGTGAGACTGATATACATTTTTTAAAAGAACAAGGGGCTGGAGAGATAGTACAGCAGGTAGGGTGCTTCCCTGGAACACTATATGATCCCTTGAGCCAGTAAGGGATAAGCCCTGAGCACAGCTACATGTGGCTCAAATATCAAACCAAACCACACAAAGCAAAACAGTCAGTGCCAGCATGGATGTGGAGGAGAAGAAACACTTATCCACTGTTGGTGCAAGTGGCACTTGTTCAACCACTTTGGAAAATACTTCTCAAAAAAAAATTAACACTTCTCAAAAAAAAAAAGATGAACACTTCTCAAAAAAAAAACCCTAAGAAATAAGTATTCATTCAACCCAGCAATTGTACTTCTTGTTAAATACTCCAAAACTCTATTTTGAAGACCTTTATGCTCCTGTGTTTATTGCAGCAATATTCACAATAGCCAAGATCTGAAAACAATCCAAGTCCTCAAGAAAGATGACTGGGTTAAAAATATATATGTATGTTTTATATACACACAGTGAAATACTACTCAGCTAAAATAAAAGGAAAAAGTTGTGCAATTTTCTGACTGCATGAATGGAACTAAATCATATAAACACATTTATTAGCAAGAAAAAATGCTGATGATAACTTGTTAGGGAAGCAAAGAAGGTTTAAGATAGTACGTATAAAACAATTTTATAAACATCTAAGTGTGACTGTGCACAAGAAAATAATGGAAAGTATAGATCTGTGTGTTAAAACTCCTATCTTTATTTGGTGGAATTCTGGGTAACATATTTTTCTAATTTCTCTTTGGTGAATTTGTATTATGTTTGTGTCAAATATTCTAAGATTTTTGGAATTGCTTTTGTTTTAAGCAAATACTTAAGAAAACTGATCGAAGAAAAACATTGCTTTATTTTATCTTTGAGAAAAGCTCTATGAGGTAGTTGTCTTTACCATGCAATTCACTTTGGAGACACTCGGAAAGGTTGACGAGGTTGCCTGAGGTAACAGCTAACAGGAGGAAGAATCACTGTCCGTCAGTGTCCTCTCAAATCAGTTACCTAACCCCTAAGTGATGAGCCTAGGAACCATCTCAGACAGGTGAGGTGCTTCAAAGAGTTGATGGCTGGAAGTTTGAATCAGTGCAGTGACGTCACTCAGTGACAGGTAGCCACCTGAAGATGAGGAAAGGGGTTCCCCTCTCATTAGAGTTCCCCTTGAGAAGATGTCCTCTCAACTGGTTGCTCTTATAGGAGCCCAGAGTTCAATTCTCAATGTACTACAACTGTGGGGAAGAAAATACCCTTATCGAGAACAAAATGCAAGGAGATTACTCCCACAAAACACGCTGCAGCCCCAGCCTAGTACCCACACAAGTGGATTTGGGTGGTAACATTTTTCATCTCCTATTCACAACAGTGAACTAATTGAAAAGTACATATTAGCATTTGTTCTCTTGGTTTTGTGTTCATTCTCATCCCAACTCTATCACTTGGGGCAGTGAATAAATAGTTTTGAGAAATTACCATGAGAATGTCAATGAGGCTGGCTGAGATGGAACCCAA